TTCAGTATTTTTTCTTTTATTTTGGCATTTCTTCGTTTGCATTTATATTAAGCAAAGTGCATCTCTTTTTTTCTCTTCTCATCAACACATTGCACAATACATAAATAACAATGCATATAAAACTTCGTATTTACAGGTAATAATATATTTATATTTAACATAAAATACACTTTTAGCTTTTTATTTCACTTAAATCTTAGTCATTTAAAGTCTGTTGTTTGTTTCCCGCGTGAAACATCCTCTGGAGAACAAACGGCGTAGTCCATAAAAGGTAAGGGGAAGTCTGCCGCAACGGTGCTGAAGGAATGGGGGGCGTGGCCTGCTGTTATCGGTTATTAAATATGACCTCTAACCAGCAGGGGCAGCTGCTGATGAACTGTCTGGTGTAACACTGACCCCAGCCCTTCACGAAACTGATCTGCACGGTAAAACCCGTCCGCGGCTGCTGGCTGAACTCGTGGTCGTTGGGTCGTTGCAAGCTTCCCGCCTTCTCAAAGTCGAAGGCTTTGATGGAAAACCCGGGAAACACTTTATGCACCAGCAGCGTCCGCGAGTCGGGATTGTCCAGTGTGGCTGACTTGATGAAGATAGGGTAGCAACTCCGGTTATAAACCCAAACGCCGTCGGCTTCGCGGCTCAGCTGGATGCCGTAGCCGATTTTGGCCCGAACCATTTGCACCAGTTGACTCTTGTTTTCGGAGGCGAGCTGGCCCAAGCAGAAGCCCGTGCCCTGAGGTAGGTCGTAGAAGATGTCCAGAGAAGGCTCCTGGACGGAGTAGAGGCGCCCGACGCGTGTCTTTTCCTCCCAGTACGCCACCACACACCAGTGAGGCTGTTCTCCACGCTCCTGAAGAGCCAGCGAATCTGCACAGACACAAATAAATATCTGGTTAATCGTAATGTCGATTAGACATCATGTTCAGTATTGATTCACTGACAGACAGTTAAAGTCAATATTTATATCATTTGTTTTTCTAATATTTCCTAAATGTTTAACAGATTCAGGAAATTTTCACAGTATTTCCTATAATATTTTTTCTTCTGGAGAAAGTCTTTTTTGTTTTATTTCAGCTGGTTTTTAATTTTTTAAAAGCCATTTTAAGGTCAATAATATTAGCCCCCTTAAGCAATATTACTTTTCCGATTGCCTATAGAACAAACTACTGTTATACAATGACTTGCCTAATCATACTAACTAGTAACCTAGTTAAGCCTTTAAATGTCACTTTAAGCTTTAGGATATTAGTATCCTGAAAAATATCCAGCAAAATATTATTCTGACTTTGTACACTCTGTGGTAAGACAAGTCTATCATTTTTTTTTCCTGTGAAACAGTATTGACATAATCAATATTGCATACATTTCAACCAGAAACACCTTAACAAAACATTTTACAACACTTCAATCGCCTAGAGTGTGAAATAAAAATAAAACAATTGATTTATTTGGCATGAAGCGTCTTTAGTTCCAATATTTTCCTGATGAAGAAAGAAGTGTTTTAATTTGACAAGGCTAAATCTAGGAACTCTGTACTGCTCAATACTGATATCACGGCCACTTCAACATACACGTTCTTATTTTAAATATTAAGAGAGCTTTTTAAGATTATGCCAATTCATAACAGTGCCAAATGCTTTTTTTTTTTTTTTTCTCGGGGTTCACTTTTATTTTGACAGGACAGTAGAGAGAATTGACAGGAATGCATGGGGAGCAGAGAGATGGGAAGGATCGGCATAGGACCGCGAGGCGGAATCGAACCCGGATCGCCGCGAGCACTGGAGTGCATATGTCAACACACTAACCACTACACCACTGGTGCCGACCAAATGCTTTTTTTTTTATTTTAAACATGAACATTTTCACATCTCAATCTGGTCTAAAATCTGCTGAAATGTTGATTGAAAATATAAAATCAACTGTTATGTGATATAAGATACTATTTAGAGGGCTACTGTTCATCAACACTTGATGGAAAGGCTCCATTTGTTAACGTAAATAGAGATAACTAAAAACAAAATTGTATTTTTTTTTAACTAACTCAATTATTATAAACGTGGCTTTGGTTAATATGGATTAACTAGCGTTTACTACTGAGACTTTACTGTTAAGTGTTTCCTATTGTACTTTTTTTTAAATAAATAAATAGATAGATAGATGGATGGATGGATATATAGATAGATTAAATCAATACATTACGTTTTTTTAAAAATTATTATTATACATTTTTTTGCAACTTAAATTTGTCAAATTGGTATTTTCTGGTTCAAATTGGTCTATGGTCTACAGTACAGATGGTGAACCAAGACCACCAGTGTGTAGGCCAATTGATTAACTCTCTAATCCAGATATTAAACCAATAAGAACTATTAGAAACTGGCTTTAGTAGATACAGTGCTAAACTGAAAAGTTCTGTTGAACAAGGAAAAATGAGCAGCAATTACTAATTAGAGTGAACTCAGTTAAATACTCTGCTTGAAAATACAGAAGATATTAGCTATTAAGGTTGCCAAATTGGTATTTTCTGGTCCAAATAAAATAGTATTGATGAAAGCTTCAGCAATTAATCAAGAACATTTGATACCAGCAGAAGCCTAAAGCCAATTGAACATCAGATTAAAGCGGTCAAATTGGTACTTGCTGGTCCACCAGACAGAAACAAAGACCACCAGACTACTTTATGACTAAGATGTACCAGTGAGAACCATGAGAAAATGGCTTTATTGGAGTTTCCATTAGAGCGAAAGTAAACAAAGTGTTTATAAAAGAAGAAAGGAGAGTTATTATGGCAATTAAACTTCATCAAGTGAGCTTCTTGAAATATGAGGACACGCCGGAGTAATGTAGTCAGACTGGTACAAGCCAGTCGCTGAAAAATAAAGGTCTACCAGGGTAAAAGCCAAGCTGAAATTGGGCATGCCAACTGATTAACCATTGAAACAAGATTATGACCAACATCAACCGATATAAATGATCAGAAACTGGCTTCAGTAGAGCTCCAACAGAGTTAAACTCAATACTGCCGTTGAAGAAGGAAAAACATGCAGCAATTACTAATTACAGTGAACTCGGCTAAACCTCTGCTTGAAAATATTTGCTTTTAAGACCAAAGTCTTCTATAGCATAGATGGTCAATCAAGACCACCACTGGATGGACTGATTGAATAACCATCTAAACCAGACTAACCAAATCGAACTAATAAGAACAATCAATAACTGGCTTCAGTAGAGTTACAATAACGGAATAGTTCTATTAAATAAGGAGCAATGAGCAGTGATTACCATTTAAAGTGAACTCAGTTGAACCTCTGCTTGAATTTACACAAGATAGTCATTTTTAAGGTTAGCAAATTGGTATTTTCTTGTCCAAAGTTGTCTACGGTCTACAGCAGGAGGGTCCAACCTCGGTCCTGGAGGGCTGTGTCCTATATATTTTAGTTCCAACCCTAATTAAACACCTGAACCAGCTAATCAAGCTCTTTCTAGGTATACTACAAACTTCCAGGCAGGTGTGTTAAAGCAAGTTGGAGCTAAACTATTCAGGACACCGGCCCTCCAGGACAAAGTTTGGACATCATACAGCATAGATGGTCAATGCAGCTGAAACCAAGACCACCAGTGGGCAGACCAACCGATTAACCTTCTAAACCAGACCTGAACCACCAGAAACTGGCTTCAGTAGAGTTTCAACATAAGTTTAACTGAAAAGTTCTGTTGAAGAAGGAAAAATGGGCAGCAATTACCAGTTAAAGTGAACTCGGTTGAACCTCTGGTCCAAATTGGTCTACAGCACAAAAGGTGAACCAAGACCACAAGTGTGTAGGCCAATTGATTAACCATCTAAACCAGATATTAACCAAATTGAACCATCAGAAACTGGATTCAGTAGAGTTTCTACAGAGTTAAACTGAATAGTGCAGTTGGAGAAGGAAAAAACGAGCTGCAATTACTAAATAAAGTGAACCTATGCTTGAAAATCCAAAGGATATTAGCTTATAAGGTTGCCAAGTTGGTAATTTCTGGTCCAAAGTGGTCTACGGTCTATAGCTTAGTCAACCAAGCTAAAACCAAGACCACCAGTGCGCAGACCAAACGATTCACCATCTAAACTGGACTTGAACCAATAAGGACCATCAGAAACTGGTTAAAGGAACATCAGAAACAATCTACACTAAATTAAGACCCAGTTTTACCTGAATATTTTCAGGAAAGAGACAAAAATGTCAGTTTAACAACAGCAATTTAACTTCATTGAATTTCTAATAGAAATAATTGTACTGTAGGTAAATCAGCCTCAAACTAAACTAACCAATGAAATGCCAACTGATTAACCAACTAGACTATGACCAACCAATAATTATGACCAATAAGAAACTGGCTTTATCAGACTTTCAAGAGTTCTCAGTGAAAGAAAGAGAAAGCCGAGGAGATAAAAGGACTAGATTGGGCTAGTACGCAAGAAGGTAAACACATACAACAGCGGACACCTTGTGTCCAGGAAAACCGTCCTGAGTTCTGCCAAGCATATCTTGCATCCTTAATTTCAGCGTTCAGGAGCGTCGGAATGTGAGGAATCTGAGCAGCGCCACCGGCCTCCAGCGCTTGTTTACATTAGCAGTGCTGCTTATCATTAGTCTGGATCCGCCTCTGTGCCGTCCGCCAACCCCAACAATGCCCTGACGTCAACAGAACAATAAATCTGCGACTGTGCTCGCCCTCGCCACTGTCAATGCCTCTTCTGACTGTTGTGATGTTACAATAAAGAAGACACTAATATAAGTAACCTTAGACCACAAAACTATAGACAAATTTGATGGTACCCTTCCGATAAAGATAGGGAAAACTACAATCACTGAAATAAACTGAAACTATTGAGATATCAGATATTGCTTATGAGATGTGGTTCAACAGAAGATTTAAAAGGTAATTTTTAACCGTTTGAAAAGGTTTTACGTGGACAAAATTGTTGGTAGCCTTCAATTTTGTAAACACAAAGCTTTCAATATTTTGCCTTTTGCCAATAATATTGTATTGTAGTATGTACAAAATTGAGATGTAAATATCTCCGTAAAACAGGATAAAAAGCTTTTTATTGATGTATGGTTTGTTGTCATTTGATAATATTTGGCAGAGATATGACTATTTAAAAATAGGCAATCTGAACGTTTAGAAAACATAAAAATATTGCAAAAACATTGCCTCTACAGTGCTCGAAAATTAAGGTCTTAGCATTGCACATTACTAATAACAAAATTATATTTTAATATATTTACTCAAGGAAATCTAATCTAATGATTTTTGGCATAAAATAAACAGCCTGATCTCACGAGAAAATGTAAGTATTTTATGTTTTGCCAGTTTAGTGGCTGATTCGTACAAATTCGTACCAGTTCAGTCGTACGAAATTGTATGATTTTAAAAAGGAGGCGTGGCACCTAACCCCACCCCTACACCCAATCGTCATTGGGGGATGAGCAAATCGTACCAAATTGTACAAATTAGATTGTACGAATTCAGACAAATTAGCCACTAAATCAAAAAGTTACGAATTGCCATGAGATTGTGTTAAAAAATAAAACACAATAGTAACCCTTTAGTTGAAGTAACAATTCACACATTTACTACTGGTTATTATTATTATTAAGATAATAGCAGTTTATTAGCACTATAAAGTATAATCTTATTTTATATTTCTAGTCCTACCCAAAGCCCAAACCTAAACCCAACTACTACCTCACTAACTATTAATAAGAAGCTATCTAGTACTGAGCTAAAAGTCTTAGTTAATGGTTTGTTAATAGCGTAAACTGTGCATTAAACCACAGTGTGACTGATATATTATAAATACGATCATTTTTATTAAAAAA